CAGGTAAGATTCAACAATAGTGAGGGGCAAGTGGATTTAAGACATCAACCGTTACCACTAAGCCACAGATGCACCTAAAAATATACACGGAAGTTTTAAACAAAATACTTTAACAATGAAACAAAATTTGAGATCATGTATTTTTCATGATTTGATGATGATAGGTCTAAATCTTAAACTTTATTTATTTGTGAGATTACGGGATCAAGATCTTAGATTGTGGAATGTACATAATTTTCAGTATTTTTTACTTTGAAGTTGTAGAAATTAACAATATGAAGTTACAGGTATAAAGGTCAGAGTTCACAAGATGACATGAAAGTTAGAAGGTGAAATTGTGCCTTTTAAGAGGCAATAAAAAGGTTGACAGAGAGGCTTGGTTTTCTTTTTAACATTGGTATATTAGGTTTTTGTTTGATATACAATAGGCAGTAAAGATTGTTTATTGCAAATATACATCATATATAAAGTGTTGAATGCTAAAATGATACATAATTTATGCTCACCTGTGAAATATAAGGACTGGTTTCCTGACCTTATGGGTTTTTTGTGAGGCTAAAATTTTTCATGTGTGACCATGTAATTCATTTGTTTGAATTTACATTAATTCAATGTTAAATATATTTTATGTGTGCTATTGTTTTGAATGCATATAATCCATGAATAATTGATCTATCTTCACTTTTTGTCTTAGGAGGGGCAGTTGCCGGGTACTGTTTGATAATGTATATCTGTTTCCACTTTGATGCAATGAGGAGAAGTTGTTGTATTTTTGAGCACTAATATATTTATTCCCACATTTAGGTGATGAAATTACAAGTTGTTATAATTGTGAGTACATTCATCTCAACTGTGGTGCTAAGAGGGGAAGTTATCAAATTTCTGAGTACACCATTTTTATGTTGTGCAAGCTGGGAAATGGTTATACATTTGTTTTCATCTTCTTTGTTAAGATGAGAAGTTGTTAAGCTAAATGTGTTCACTTACTTAATTGCTATATTTTCCCCCCATTTCCCACAGAAGTATTATATTCTTTTCAACAATTTAAAGATATAAGATTGGAAATACAAATGTATAGCATTTTTCCTTGTGTTGGATACACTATAATTGTTCAACAGTAAGAGATGTGCATTACATTTATAATGGAAAAAATTAAGATAATTAACATAAATCTTCTATACAGTAAATCATCTAAAAGCTAATTAATGTAAGGTTCTGCTTCTTTTTGTTTTGTGCTAAATGACAAATGCCAAATCTTAGAGCACCAACATGCATTATCATTTTTGTAAAAGTTTAAATTACGTTAATGCATTGTTATATTGTTCTGGAAGGTTGCATAAAATACTTGAATGGCAAATCTATTTGTTTTCTTTTTTGTGTCGCCTCTACGGAGTAGTGGCTACATATAGGGATCACTTCTCCGTCGTCTGTCTGTCCGTCTGTCTGTCTGTCTGTCCGTCACAAAACTTGTCCGGACTACTCCTCATAAACTACTGGTGCAATTTCATCCAAACTTTACAGGAATGATCAGTACCAAGTCTAGTTGTGCATATTGTCAGCATTTTCCGGTTCAATGATTTTTGTCAGAGTTATGGCCCTTTAATAATTTTTAATTTTAAAGTTTGTCCGGACTACTTCTCTTATACCACTAATGCAATTTCAATGAAACTTTACAGGATTGATCTGTAGCTCAAGTCCTTGCGCATATTGCACGGGTTTTCCGGTTGAATGATTTTTGGCCGAGTTATGGCCCTTTGATAAAAAGGTGTTTTTTTTTTCTGTGTGTTGCCAGATACACAAAAGCTTGTCCGGACTACTCCTCATAAACTACTGGTGCAATTTCATTCAAACTTTACAGGAATGATCAGTACCAAGTCTAGTTGTGCATATTGTCAGCATTTTCCGGTTCAATGATTTTTGTTTGAGTTATGGCCCTTTAATAATTTTTATTTTTAAAGTTTGTCCGGACTACTTCTCTTATACCACTAATGCAATTTCAATGAAACTTTACAGGATTGATCTGTAGCTCAAGTCCTTGCGCATATTGCACGGGTTTTCCGGTTGAATGATTTTTGGCCGAGTTATGGCCCTTTGATAAAAAGGTGTTTTTTTTCTGTGTGTTGCCAGATACGCAAAAGCTTGTCCGGACTACTCCTCATAAACTACTGGTGCAATTTTATCCAAACTTTACAGGAATGATCAGTACCAAGTCTAGTTGTGCACTGTCCGTCTGTCTGTCTGTCTGTCACAAAATTTGTCCCAACATAAAATTGGCCATCATGAGGCGACACATGTGATTACTGATCGCTCTTGTTAAATTGCAGCCATTACTTTTTCTTTTTTTTCATAATTTGTTTCGAAATTTATGTAAAGCCTTGTTACTTAAAGATGAATCATTTTATGTTTGAGGACAAACATTTGACAATGACATATTATGATATTTTCTACAGTTCATTACGGACATTATTAAGTTTTCTTCTCTTCAGGTTGTGCTTCATTTATACTTTAACATTATTATACATACTCTGTGTACATTTGATTATTATACTTGTGGTTAAAGAATATGTTCAATTTGAATATAAAATGCAATTTTTTTTGTGTTTGCGGGTGTTTTGCGGCATTATTTCCTAGCTAGATGTAGAAGATAGCATATCTATTTAAGTAAAATGATATGTATTGCAGGAAATTGATATAAAAGTGTGCATTATCTGCAGGGACAGGGTTGTTTAAATTGCACAAAGAGTGTGCTCATTGGTCAATAAATGCAAAGATATACATTTCTGTCAAAACTCAGTTATTAGAAATGCTTATTACATGCTTTTCGGTGGTTTATAGAAATATATCAGTGAAATAAAAAACTGATAATTTCACAGTTTCAAACAATGAAATTATCAATTTGATAATTTCACTGTTTTGAATTTAAGCCCGTTTCATTGATCCAGTGAAATACCAGCGTACACAATACTGGAAACCAACTTATTGATGTGACGTCATAAATTATGTCACGTTTTATTATTATTTGGCGCGCTTTTCATTTAGTATTAGGTTAAAATGTCTTTTTAAACATTTCTCTGCATATAATAAAAAGAAAATTTGTTTAGTTTAGTGTAAGATCGGAATATATTTTTCCTCAAGAACACCAAAAGTTTATATTTCATTCGTGGCTGCGCCACTTGTGAAATATACCTTTTGGTGCTCACTCGGTGAAATATATTTCGATCTTACACTGAACTAAACAAATACCCTCTATATAAATATTTTGTCAGCCGCCACGTATAAGAATAAATTTTAAAAACCATGGCAGCACACTTTCATATTTTATACAGCTTAGATATTTTCAGTGACAAACTTCAGTATCTTTAAACTGAAGAAACTAGTCTGTCAGTTCATCCAAATGTTAAAGGTCTCATCTTGAAATGATTTTTTTATTGGTTAATTATTAGTGTCATATTCTCTATAGAAACACCTTGGCATTTTAGATACAAGTTTTATCAATTTTAGGTGATTATAAGATTGTTTGAATCTGCAAGCTGATATTGTCTGTTTTGTACAATTGAAAGAAAGGCTGCAATTTGTAGATGGTTCTTGGCATGCAACTTTGCAATAATAATTACATGCTAAAACTGTATGCATATTATGCAGCTATTGAATTTTTTTTTTGTGGTTTTGAAAATTAAAATGAATAATGATTGTCATTGCATTGAATAATCAATACTCAGGCCCTAGCGAAAAAGAAATCATGTTATATGATTAAACATGATAAGATGTGTACAAACATGTTTTTTTCCTCATTAACCATGTTGGTCAATCATGTCTTATAAACATGTTTGACCATCAAACATGATTGTGGATGAAAATTACAATTTGTTCAATAAAACATCTGTATTTATTTCAACTAATATTATAATGACTTTCAGGGAGAGGTAAAAATCATAAAGATTGTTTTTTTTCTGCAAACAATCTTACAAGAAATCAACATATTCAATCATGAATAAACATGATAAATTTATAAAAAAAAAAATCAAACAAATCTCTCTTTTTTCTTGTTACTTTCATCAAATAAGTTATTCTTTTGGATAAAAAAGTATCCATACATTTCAACTTTGTGTATAAATAGCCTTAAACGCTTTAATAATTACTGACACATTGACCCATTTATTACTAAGAGAATAACATAGTCATACATGATCAAACATGGCTGAACATGATAAATTCAAAGTCGATATTTTTTAACAAATAAGCATTTTTTAAATTACATCTTACAACAGGATTTTACTTTCTGTGAAAACATTGATAATAAGAATAGTTTCAGTTGTTTTGTTTACAAATTTTTTTATAGGAAAGCAAACATGTTTAAACATGACAGAATTTTGAATATAACAAAATTTTCAGACAGCTCAGAGCATGATTCAGCATCTCCTTGGTTATTATCCTAGAATCCATCTGCTAGGCCATAAATGGAGGTTAAACATATTGTCCCCATTTTCAACAGTTTTACAGCATTTATCGGAATACAAGATAAGCATTGATATAAAGCATCAAAGGGCACTGGGAAGAAGTACATGTAGCAAAATTAATTAAAATGGTAAATTAAGGTGGGATCTTAATGTCAGAAGCCGGGGATTATGTGCATAAATTGATAGTGGGATATATTACCCTGTATTGTAGCCATAAAAGCTAAATTACTAGGTAAGCTATAAGTTTAGGTACAAAAATCACATAATTATGTTCCTACCAGTTACAAATATACAACAGGCAAAATAAAATATTCCATACAGGACGCTGAACTTCAGTTTGGCCCAAGTAAAAAAAAAAACTCAGTTAAGAATAACCAATTTTTCCATATGAAGGTTATGGTTGCAAAGCAGAGCTCAAACTCGCCATCCACCATTTTTGGCAGACAAGAATTACTGAAAAAACTACTTAAACTTGAAAAAATTTATCAAAACAAAGGAAAATATCTTGGAATAGAAAATATTTTCATGAAATTGGAACACCTATTCAAGAATCTGAATTTATTTGTATCCAAAATCAATGCTTTTTAGTTAACATATCATTTTAGTATCTATTATGAAAGACAGATTTGAAGAAGTGACCCGTAAATCACTCTACCACAGGGATTGTGCCTATAATAATTAACACTAAATGTCACATTAAAGTTGTATTTTGTAATATTAGACTTATATTTTACTGTCTCAAACTGCGATTCAAATGATGTAATCTAAGATACGCCAGTCACTTGAACAAATTTGGAACACAACTAACTTAAAAAAATGTATTTTCAGTTTGAATAACAAACACTTCTTCAATTATCTTATCAACATGAACATCCTCTTCAGTTTTCATTCTTAACAGATGGTATCCAACATCACAAAAAGGATGTACTAGTTCTGTTATTGTACATATATGTCCAACAGCAAACAACTTCTCATCCACAATATTTTCTATGAAATATGATAAAGCTAATATCACACTATCCAGGCACAAAACAGTGTAACAGTTTTTTTCATTTGTTTGTACTTATCGGAATAAAGAAATTTTCCTTTGTCGTAATAATCTGTGTGTTGTTCTATAATCTTTTACATTGTTCAAACCAATCTTAGCAAGAACATAGCATTGTTCTTCTTTAGATGCAAAATTTCCTTTTGAATATTCAGTGCCAGAGGGTTTTTCATCACCTGACATAAGTTGACCAGTATTATTTGGACAGACTCTTGATAGAAAATCTAACCAACAGGGTTCGCATCAGCAATCATTTCAGTACTTTTAGTTCTGATATACAGATCTGTTAACTTGTAGTTTATTGTTTACATCCAAATTTATGTCCGAATTACTCTTCCTTGTATTTTCATGGTCATAGAAATTGTCACACTCATACATGTTTAAGGTAGCACTCTACAGTTAATTTCAAGTTCCTCAGCCGTCAATGTCCTACAAGCAATACGTCTATTTATTCTGATACCAAACTACACAACCTGGAAAAAGAAAACACATTTTGTTGAGAACATATATGACATAAGATTGCAAATCTACAAAGAAATTATCCCATCTGCAATAGGCAGGCAGTAAAAAAAATGCAATTCATTCCGTTAAAGCCCAAAATCTACAGTGGACGGAGACCCAAAACAACACATTTCGTCCCTCTGGCAAATATACAGGCTAAAGGAATACCGTCTCTGCTTTAGCAACTCTCTAAACATGCAAAATATCACAAAGTAACTGGTGCTCAACCTTGTAGAATTTTTGCTACTGCTAAAAGTTGTCCTTATAAAATTATATTAAAAAAAAATAATATGATGGACACTTGTATGAAATAACAACAAAATTATACCCTAAAAATTTAAATGTAGACAAAAATTTTTATCATATCTTTAACGTAAATTGCAAGTATATTAATTAATGAATCTAGATCAGCAAATCAAATGTCACAAGTAAATTTTCTTAAAAATGTAAATGAAAGAAAGTTACAGCCGGCTTAGTCAAGTTATTTTATAGAAAAAAAATTATTTTCTCATTACAAAAATATATGTTAGGCAAACAAAGATGAATATTACTATATTTGCCTTTATTTGGGTATAGACTGGGTACTTCGTGTGGGTCGATTTGTGCCGCCGGTTTCCCATGTTTCCGTAGCCAAATATCCCCATAAATACCCCTCGGAATTAATTTCATTCAAAGACGGCCATCTCCAATTATTTGCAACTTTGCTTTGTTTCTCTAGGACTTTGGTATTTTGCCTCGCGGGCAGAAACTTCATGATGAGAATTACTTTTTTGTTGTTTTTTTTTTTTGTTTTTTACGGAAGTACAAACTAGCCGGTCACTCGTTTTCTATAATCTGATTCGACAATCGAAACTTGTCCGACCAATCAGAAGCGTTGTTTCACGGTACGTTACGATACCGAAATCAACTTGATTTCGGTAAAGTTACCGAAATCAACTTTTCATTACCGAAATCAACTTATAAAATCACAATTAAGCGTTTTATTATATTTTTTTCATTATAATATATTACAATAGGTTAAGTTTGACTTTCATGCAAAAAATCAGTTCGAAATAATTATTAATAATGAAATTAGAAACAAATAACTAAATATCAAGATTATTCCCTGATTTGTCACGAACCGAAATATATGTTACAATACCTAAATCGACTTGTAAAATCATAATTATAAGCGTTCTATTATATTTTTTTTCATTATAATCTATTACAATAGATTTAGTTTAAATTTCATGCAAAAAATCAGTTCGAAATAATTATTAATAATGAAATTATAAACAAATAACTATAAATATCAAGATTATTCCCTGATTTGTCAGGAACCGAAATATATGTTACAATACCGAAATCGACTTGTAAAATCATAATTTAGCGTTCTATTATATTTTTTTCATTATAATCTATTACAATAGATTTAGTTTGACTTTCATGCAAAAAAACAGTTCGAAATAATTATTTATAATGAAATTAGAAACAAATAACTAAATATCAAGATTACTTCCCTGATTTGTCACGAACCGAAATATATGTTACCATACCGAAATCGGCTTGTAAAAGTTAAAATAAACATTTTAATAGATCTTGTTTAATTAATTAATATAAAGTCATTCAAACTGAACCATAAACAAAGTAAAATAATATTTGATTATAAAAATGATGATGTTATACCTCTAAATAATTTGCATGAATTTCAGAAATAGTTGATTGGAAATTATCACAGTATTTAATTTAAATCCAATGATTATGATTTGATTAAAATAAATACAGTTTATATAGTTTATTTTGGCTAAATCGGCATGAGAAAATGCCTTTGGCCATTTACAATAACTTTCATGATGGCCAAGACAACAGAAATATATACAATATAAATATAACATACAAAAACATATATACATCAAACGATTATTTTAACAATATTTCTATATCTTGAAAGTACTTTAAACAGATATTTCAAGAAGATAAAAAGACGTAGCGGTAGCCATTCATCATAACACCTTTACTAATAAGGAGCAAGCATACACGTGCTCGGACAATGGAGGTGTTAGTTGACATAACATACTCGTTCACCGCAATCCTTTAATATACATCGGCGCATGGAAACTTTAAAGTATCCAAACAACATAATTAGACATGATTATTTTTAACATGAAATTAAAGCTGCTTGTCTCCATTAAGACAAAAAGTACATTACAGTTTAATATAAAATGACGTATAGCGACCATCCCTATATAATATATATCAAAAGACTTTCTTTTTATAGTTTTATAGTATAAATATTTCAGATCTAGTAAGCTGGTAAAAATATAATATTATATTAAATAAATTGTCAAAAGATCTGTTTTAACTAACATATAGGGGTGGTCGCTATACGTTTCCGTAGAAAACATTTCGGTATACATTGTATGAGACAAGGTGCTTTGATATTATTGTTACCAAATTGTATCAGTTGTTCCAAAAATGTATGCAAGTTTTGATGTCCCGGATACTTAACTACATATTCTACTTATTGAAAAAGTGTTAAGTCATGATTTTATGTTGATCGATTTAAAATCATTTTAAATTTCATATCTGTAAACAGCATAAATTTATGGAATGACTGGTATATATTTATATGATGGAAAAAATGGAACACTTTATACTGACAAATTTCAATTATGAAATGTTGTAACTTGTACGATTTGACATGTTGTGTATTACTGTATTAAGTAAGGTGTGAAGTAATTAAGACAGGAGGTACAGTTGGCATACAATGTATGTTAAAGATAAAAGATTATAATGAACCATCTGTTTATGTCGTAATAAACATTTAAATAAATGACTAAAATTTAAAAATATTATGATAAAGAGTCCCCATAACATATGTTAGCGATTTGTTAATATATAGTTTAACTGTTCAATAAAAGAAAGACACAAACTTTCCAATTTCCAATTTTACTGCCTGATACATTATACAATTTTTATGGAACATTTTTAGAGCAGTCGAATTATATATCTGTATTCAAATTTATAATAGAAAACCATAAACTTCCGGTTGAAGTTGGATCTTTTTTCTTCATAAAACATAAACATGTACAAAATTTATAAATATCTTTAACTCATATTACAGAGTATTTTATTTAGTCCGATCATAGCTTTTTAAAAATACGATTTGATTAGAAAATTGTTATGCACGACAATCACGTGCATACATATATATAACATGCTAATATGGCGGTATCAGACTTTTTCTTAAATCATTATATACATGGCATTCTAATATGTCATAATGAAATGGTATTCGTCTTCTAAGACATTACATGAAAAGCAATTTCTATCATTAAAATTGTACTATTTGGTTTAGTTCATCTACCTGATTCTATGTGCAATCTATGAGACGATACTCTTAACCTAGTGAGATCTTTACAAAACCGTTCAACATTGATAATATTTAGATATGGTTGAAACTTAAAAACAGAAATATGTCTATAAAATAGAGCTCTACTAGAGTTATCTAATCTATTATCTACTAATTATAGACATAATTTAAACTTCACAGCTGATTTCGGTAATGCTAAACACATAACGGGTTGTTTAGAACAAAGGGAAGTAACTCAATAATTACATTTTTGTTAATAACATCATTAAAATAAAATATTTTCAATAGATTTTTTAACTGAAAGTCTATTTCATTATTTTTCATCAAATAATGAAGAAATAATAGCAATATTTTAACTAGTTTGGTTTTTACGAGTTCATTTCGGTAATGAAAAGTTGATTTCGGTAACTTTACCGAAATCAAGTTGATTTCGGTATCGTAACGTACCCGTTACTTCATACCAAGGTGCGTGATGCACACAATCGCTCATAATGGCATTAATGCACACAAAAAAACTTTTTGAATTTAACGAAACGGACAAAAACATCACCTGTTTATAAAATTAAATGGGCAATAGAGTTCTTTCAGTTCTCACTCGAGATAAGAGGCAACCTATACCCCTCAGAAATCTAAACGGATTTACGCGATTCACAAAAATGATCCTGGAGACTGTCTAAAATCCGGAACTTCCGGACTATTCCGGATGTTATTCTAATAATAAATATACAGCTAGCAAACGGGTTGTAGCACTTGCCGTGGTGTTAGAACAAACATATTGTTAAATATAATGACATTTACCTTCTTCAGCTTCTGAAAACCTCGAAATCCACCAAAATCGCATGTTTACAGTTTCTTCAAGTGTTATCTTTCTATACTTCCGGTTTAGAAAATCACGTTATCTTTAGCGCCACCTAACCCAAAGTTTATATTTAGCAACCAATAGATAACACGAATACATGTGCGGTTAGTTTTAAACGAGGGAAAAATCAAAATGGCTGAAAAGTGAAAGTGCTTGTTTATTGGACTTTGGAGAACAACTGGTCGTTTGTCAGCACTGCCGCTGATCGGGAAGGGTCAATGCCTGGGACAAGAACATTTGCCAAGTTCCAGGAGAAATGGTATCCTGCTATACCCATCGCAAGTAAGTTCTTCATCTGCACGCATGCTTCCGAGCACAAGGACAGTCTTGATAATTAAAATAAGATTTCTCTTGCTTTTAAGGAACAATCGACCATACAGTATATCTGGAGATTTTGGAGGAAATTATTTAAATTCTCATATCCACAAAATTTCCACTTATAAATGAATGAAATTTAACTTAAAAAGAGATTTTAACTGTCAAATTATTAAGTTTTTTTGTCATTTATTAACATTTTTTCGGATAACACGAAGTCCGGATAAGTACAAAAATAAAATGATTTATTTTGCTTGTGTAGCACACGAATTTTGCCCGTTCTAACTTAATACAATTGAAAATACATTCTTATATTAATATGTATTGATTAATGTACCCACTTCTCGAAATCAGCATTTAATTTAAGCACCCACTAATTTCAATTGTCACATGTTGTCGCAATCCGATATTTTGAAGTTAAAACATTTTTTTAAATAATAAAAGGAGAAAAAGTATGTAGGTGAATAAAACTGAATTAGCAGAAAACATTATTCAAAGTCGGTGCTTCTTTTGGCAGGTTTGCAACATTTGATCATCTGGAGAGGTATGTTCTTCACCATCGAAGAAATTCAAAACCATAGTGCAACTGGTAAAAAGGCCAACAAAGATCAAGTTTGATCCTGCCAAATTTAACTTAATCAGCAAGCTCGTTCAGAAACATTTTGATATCACTGACAAGGAAGTGGTCATTAAGACACAAAAAGTGAAGCAGAAGTATTTCAAGTGACAATGTTAATAAAGTATTCATAATGAAAATTACCTTTGTGCTGAAAGAAAAGAAATAAAAAAGAATTGTGTCCAGGGTTCTGATCTCAAAAGGTGTAATTTAAAATTTACCTCATCTGAGCAAACACGAGATGAACTTTTGTAATTGCCTTTGTCTGTTGACCTGTGCTGATGTAAAACAATGTCAGCTCTGTTCCTTTGACCTGTGCTGGTTTAAAACAATGTCAGCTTTGTTCTTTTGGAAATGTTTGAACATGTTTGAAAATGTTAAATGACCCCTTGATTTGGATATATTAACATGTTCGACCATGTTATGGGATCTTGATTTGTATATGTTTAAACATGTTTAGATGTGTTTGGATTGTGGTGCCATTTAATGTGAATGTTTAAACATGTTCCATCATGTTTTGGGGACATTTTTAATCATGTTTAGATGTGTTTGACAGTAAAGTAGTAGTTACATGATCAAACATATTCAAACATGTTCTGTGAACGTTTTCAAACATGTCTAAAGCATGATAGCTGGATAGAACAAAAACATGTCAAAATGTGATTGACCATGTTACTCTTTTTTGATCATCAAACATGACTAATCACGATTGTTGACTGATCCTGTTAGATCATGGTGCCATTTCACGTGCATGTTTAAACATGTTTAAAACATGTTCAAAACATGTTCAAACATTTCGAAATAACATGTAAGAACGTGTTTAAAACATGTTAAGACATGTTTCAATCATGAAATTTTCGCTAGGGGGTTTATCTAGATAAACCAACAGTTGATATACTATCAATATCAGTGCTTATATTATAATACACGATAGTAAAGTTTGATCACTTGCTCTAACTTACCGGTAACTGTCAATACTGAATTTTGGTATCTCTTTTGATAAATAAGTACTTACCAAGCTTAATATCTTATAGATTTTCCATCTTCTATCTGGACAAGATCAATGCATTCATCATTTTCAGGGAAAATTTCATAAAATGTACTGACTGAATAGCAAACAGAGCAGACCTGATGTTCAGATGACACTCGACTTGTGCGTGCTGATCTTGGTCTGCACTGGTTGCCTGTGCTCCAGCTGAGGTTTGGTAAATGTTACCCCTTAATTTTGGCTATCAGAAAATCAAATCAAGTCTTTAAAACTATTAAATTAGCTGAATGAATGTCAAGGTTAATAAAAGCACTTTGTAATGTCAACTTCAGTGTATTAAATGTTATAAATAATAAAACAATTTTCTTGTAAAACAATCATTTAAAGCTTTCTACTTGAAAGTCTTCAATTTGAGACAACAAAGTTATTATTTTGCAATGAAATTTTGCCATTCTCCTGAAAAATGTACATGATAGTATCAATTAATTTATAACAATAGGTACTTGCTCATTCTATTTTGCAATTATCAACTATGTAGGTATTTCAGAATCATAAAAATCAATCTCAATAAATTTCCAGGAAAAATATGCCCAAAATGTATGTATTAATATAACCTTCTAAATCTTGATTTAATCTGAAAATCATGGCTGTAAACATCAATAGATTAAGTTCATAGATACTTCATTAATGAATCCAACATTTTATTAATGTACCTTTGAGGTTTAGAACAGGTACCACCTTGTAGAGAAATTCTATATTTTGATGAAATTTTCAATCAGACTCCAGAACAGCCTTTCTCTGTTTGTACTATATGATACAAAACAAACTGTAAGACAAAACAAACTACAAGCTGATTGAATTGAAGATTTTTGATTCACCTGATGCCATTGAGTATCTAAGTCTTTAATATTATATAAGATCTGAAGAATCATATACTGTGTTCTCTAAAATTAACTATAATATTTGGTATGTTATAACATGGAGGTATTACAGGGGTTTCTGATGTAATTTAACCTTTAGCCAGGCAATGACTAAATCCACCCATGCAACCAGTGCAGGTCAAGCTAAGCTCAGATGTTCATGGTCTGCTATTTTCACTATTGAGACAGTATTTATTTTGAAATTTGGAAAATGATGAATGTTTTTGTTAACATGGACAACAAAGTCCATTTAAGATATTTAGCATGGTAAAGATTTGAGACACATTTAAGATATTTAGCATGGTGAGGATTATAGACAAGACTGATGTGATCTCTACAAATTATAAACTGGTTGGGTTTGAATCTCTGGTGGATATAATGGCTTGATACATCTGCGGATGTTTCAAAATTCTAAATTTTACCAGTTGTTACCATGTTAAATGTTGAATTCTGCTTAACCCTATTCAAATGCTTGCCTGAATGAAGAACAGTGGCACCAATATTAAAATATATTGAAGTGGCGGAAATACACTTATATAGTTGACAGAAGAAAAAAAGGAAATTCTACTTAAGGTCTCAAAAGAAAATATCTTAAGTGTAAAACACTTTTTTTGGAAGTTAATTGTACTTGGTTATGTTTGACAGTCCCATTTATTAACATGCATATTTCTGAATTTGTGTGTTCATAATATTATGTTTTGTTACTTTGTAGCTCATTGTGGTTCTATTTAGGGGAGTGGTGGCCTAGTGGTTAAGGTGTCTGTAAGGCAGCCCATGGATTTATGGGTTCGAATCCAACTTGGATGAATTAGCCATGTTTCTTCATATAACACTCAAGTTAATTGGTGCTATATTCTTAATTTTATGAGGAAGATTTTCAACAAGTTGACATCACAGGTGTTGTGGGCATTAATTGGTCAAAACATTTACCCCTGTGACACACCTTTGCCCCCAAAAAAGTTACATTTACATGTTTAATTTTTAGTTTCAACTTATAAAACTTACATATTTTAATTCAAATATGGTGATGTCAGAAACAAAATTCATAGTTTAATTTAATTATAGGACATTTATAGGCATGCATTATAATACTGAATGCACAGCATGAGTGCCTAATGGTGAAATTTAATATTTTATTATGTCGTTTAAATTGCCTCAAAAACATAACATTTATTATTGTCAAGCATGCCTGATGCTGTATGCATTGAATTTAATGTCCCCCCACAAAAAAACGATGTACATATCCCTGTTAGTGGTTAAGAGAAAACAGTTTTTGTTTTTGCATTGAAAATGCATGTTATAGTTAATTAAAATAATATTTCAAGATCATAGAATATTTTTAGGTGCACTGAAGTGGTTTTCTCGAAGATTTAGATTACAGACCCTCATGAGCAAGATTGAGAACAGACATACTAGAAATTTTCAAATGATAACTTCTTGCAATTGTGACAAAAATTTGCACAAAAAAAAAAAAGAGCCTATAGTTAAAGGGATGTTTGGTCATTTGTTATTTCATAAACGTCAAAACAAAATGTTGAAAACTAGAAAAGCATTTGTTTTTATGGAAGTGATAATATATAATATTCAAATATGTACAAGAAATAGGTCATATGAAATCTGTTAGAAACAAGGCGAGTGCAGCCGAGGGTTTCTGAAATTAGTCAATGTTTACAAATTCACTCTTTAAAACCGATAGATTTTGTCCAATTTTCAATGTAAAGCAGGGTTATCAATTGTAAAAATTGGAAATACTCGTGAGCAACTGTTATAATCCCCTGATAATCATAGAAAAGGGGGGGGGCCTAGTGATTAAGATGCTTTTAAAAACCGGGATCATGGGGTTCGAGCCCCTCAGGTCACGGCGTGATTCCCCAAAATTGACACATGCAGTACTGGTTAGCAGGGAGCAGACCTGAAAGTGATTAATAAAAGTCACAAGAACTTGTTTCACAATCATGGTAAGAAAAATATGTTGAAACTAGGTTTGTAAGACTGCATAGGTGTGTTACTGAAGTGACCATTTTTGTATCCATTTGCATGGTCGCTTGATACAAGTTTGGCTGTTCTTTCTAATATCGGTCCAATATAAACCAAGTTCCATTTTGTCAATGTTTCATATACATGTACCTTGGAAACATTTTGTTACTAGAATTGAACCCATAAATCATGCAAAGACAATAAATTACATAATGAAATAGGACATAGCACTTATATTACAATTTTAGAATTTAATTACTGTATATTGATTATGTTTTCTTGTGCCATCCAGATTGAAACAGAAAGTTATAAAAAATATTACGTTAAAAGTTTAAAACGAAAGGAAAAAAGCAAGAAAAAATAGGTCAGAAATTTTTAATTATACCACACTTAAATATCAGTTTTATCTTTGGTTTGATCAAACTAGGGATGTTAGTCCGTTTCCGATGATAGTTAGATAGGTCCACAGTTATCATTTCTCACTTGAGTGTAATTTTCTAATTAGGGCACCTGCGCAAAATAACGGTCTGACATTTTTTATTTCAATGATTGTGACTGTGAACTACCCAAGATTTCCTATGCAGGTTACAGTTGTGGGTTTGATCCATCAGTCAAAGAACATAATATGTTGCAAGTTATATACCTGTATGTTTCTAATCGTTGAAAGTTGTTTAATCAGTCATCAGTGCTGTGTGACTGGGAGGAGAATCATGCCAATGTACAATCAGCAATCAGAATTTTCACCATTAATTTAGAATGAAAAATGAATATTAAATAAAATCCTGACTTCTGAAGAAACTATTTTTGTGGTCTTTTGATAAGAATGTGTTAATAATTACAAATACAAATGTAAATTGAAATGGGTATGTTAAATAAGTATTTCTATATAAATTCTGTATGTAAATATGATTCACCCAATCTGCTTGTCCTCATTCAGGGTTAAAGTGTTTGTCGCTAACAAGGCCAACCCCTTTGTCTTACCTGAACAAACAGATATTTAAGTGTTTAAGCTTTTGTAACTGTAAT